TATACATTTAAATTTTGCATAAACATCTTCAGTTATAATAATAGAAATGGTTTCACTTATCTTATTCTATCTTGTATATATCAATCATAATCAATTATTATCATTCACTTTGGAATCAATTTATCTTCTAATATTAATTTTGTTTGATTCTAAACTTGATTCCTGGCAATGGTTTTTTCACGTGAATTTCGAGAGAACGATTTTCCAAGATCGTTTCGCTTCAGATCGTAGAATAATTTAAAGTCAAAAATCTTTGTAGATTTAACGATTCGGCTCGGTTGAGCATGTCGGTTATCATCAGCAGCCTCTTTGATCCTACATCTTTCAAGTATGACGCTTTACATCTAATGGTATACACGTATCAAAGACTGGTGGAAATTATTCAAAGATGAATGTATCGGTTATGCTAGGACATCTCGTGCAAGTTTAAACAAGTTCAAGCAAAACTTTCTTTGAGATCAACTATTAAAATTTACTGATTTTCGTTGTTGCAAAAAATTTAAAAGAATTAAAATTTTTAAATTTTTGCACAATTTTAGAAATTAATTTTAACTAAATCTTTTTTTACACAAAATTTAAAAAAATAAAGAAATATTTTTTTCATTATTATAAGTAATTTAATAATCACTAATATAATGATACAATTTTTATTTATCATCCTATTTAGATTAGCTATCCATCACACTGTCTATATGACGAGCATACACATTGTTTTGATTTTATTTAACGCAATCAGATATGCACTTTTCAAAACAAAATTTCACCATTAAAAGGAAAAAAAAACATCGTTAAAACTAGATCTCACAAGAAGATGGCGAAATAACATATTGTTCTTGCATGTTTATCAATCATTCGAATAACAGATAGTTTCAAGATTCCAAAGCAGGTCTACGTAGGCGTCTGGGATAGACACTTGGCGGTATCGCTTGCCATCGTTCGCAATTCCTCTAAACACGTAGGATTTACCTAGCAAGAGGCTGCAATTACTAATTCTGTTCACCTCGTATCAGGCCGTAACGAAACAACCTCTCTTCTCGTTGCCTCATGGCAAATATGACCGTGCTTGTCCCAGTTTCGCCTACTAACGAAGCGACAGAGAGAAAAACAGTGGGAGAGGGGAGGGAATGGAGGGGAGAGAAACAAAAAGGAATCGTTTCCAACGACGAGGCTCTGCTAACGAATCGTCGAACACGTCGCGACACACCGAGCTCGTTGAAAATGAAACGAGCCGAATAATCTCGTGGAATAATTCCCCGAAAATGAGGCAAAATAAAAAAAATCTTATTTCATCAACGACCGAACGGCGAACTTTGTCCAAATTTCTTTTCTCTTGTGGTTGTAAAACAAGTTTTTATGCGTGAATGAAAAGAAAAGAGGAAGAAAGTTTTCTGTTATAAAAATTTCGAAACTCGCCAACTAGCGAGCTCTTATGAAAGTAACTCCGTTTACAAGCATCGAGCAAAGTTAACTGGTAACCAGTCGGTAATAATAAAAAATCTTGGTAATTATTTGGAATAGCCACTTTTTCAGTTTTGAAGTATATATTTTAAGATTATCATTTTAAGAAGTTTTTTTTTATATATATATATACTTTAATTTTTGAATTATATTAAAATGGGATTTTTAAATCACATATATATAATATCATATTTTATTAATATTTAAGTAGATTAAATTAAATTTGTTGTATACGTGTCATATTTCGATTTTAGAATTAGAAATATCTTAATCATAATGTTAAAAAGTGCAATTATCAGTTGAATTTGGATTAGATTAAGTCTCAGGATGCTTCGTAGATCAATTTTTGGATTACTTTTAGCCCAAAATCAAATAAATTTACAATTCTATTCAATTATAAGCTGTGTAAATGTATTAAAAAAATTAATACATATTAAACTAAAATCTAATTCAAATCTATCTATCTTATTTAGTTTATATAATAATCTTAACCTAAATGTTCTGAAATTATTCCAAGTCCTACAAACATGATATCTAGTATCGAAAATATTTTTGTACATTAGAAATTAAAATCGAGTAATGAAGATACATATATATATATATATAAACAAAAGTTATTTAATACGTTGATATTAACAACATATTTCAAATATGTAGAAATCAATGAAATAATTTATGTTATAAACAATTACTAAAATCTTTCTTTAATTAAAACACCAAAAAATTTACTTGTTCACAAAATGATTAAAAAAAATCTTTTTGTCTCGTACAATGTAATTGTTCGTATCTGCGTCTTGACTGGCAATAAAAATCGTTTCACGGCCACAATAAAGTAAATCGTGACGATTCACCGTTATAAGTAACGAGGATAGCTTTCATCGCGAAAATTACAAGAAAATAACGTCTCAGCTTTTTGACCGAGTTGCATTGACGTCTTCTTACGACAATGGATTGCCATGCCGCGACATTTCGAATCGACAGGAACGGGGACACGAGGCAATCATTGACGAGGGGAATACACGAAGTACATGGTCACTAGACGAAGAACGCTATCCCTCCATTCGAGACCGTGGTCGGATAAATCACCGGGCGAATTGGGTCAGAGAATGACAGAGAGAACGGTTCGCCTCAAGAACCGTCTCAGATCCCCCGAACTCGTGTAGGGATAACGCTTTTCCGCCGATAAGCTCCTCGTTTCGTCATCCATCTCCGCCCTGCGCTTACAGCGCCGATGTACACAACTAAAAGCGCACGCGAATCCCTCTGGTGTGTATACGTGGAACCGCGGGTGAATGTGTGCAAACGGGCGCAAAATCGATTCGTATAATACGGTCACGTGGTGAGCGATTTTCAGCCGGCCTGATTACGGTTATTCAACCACGTGACAGATTTCAAATTTACTCGGGGAGTAGCGGCGGTGGCGCTGGCAGCACTCGGTTGACGCAGTCACGTATAATCAGGTGGCCTGGAATTTATTATAGTACGTGCGTTACATGCCGGTTGCGCCATTACGTAGCGCGAATATCGCGAGCGAGTTTCGATTTATCGTCGATACATGGACACCTATTCCGGCGCAGATACTTTCTACCTCGCGACAGAGCTCTGTTTGCTTAGACGCGAGATTCGATTATAGTGAATACGAAATACCCTTTCGTGCCGTCTATTGTCGCGTTAACCGATATCACGCGACACGGAATAAGAGATCTTATTTACCTGAATTCTCGATTACGTGGAATATATATATTTTTGAATGTATTTTTGGTCTGTTGTTGGGTTTCGGATAAAAGGAAATGCTTTATATATCATCATTGGGGAGAATAACTACTATTTCGAGGTTACAAAAGAAAATGAAAGTTTTAATAATAGAAAAGATTGAGTTTCTTGAGCTCGTCCGTGTTTTGATATACTGGTCGAAATTTATGATCGGATAGTGATAGAGGAAAAAGATATACGTCTGAAAGAGAACATACATGATAATAGGAATTAAAATCATGTGCATCATTGATTACATCAATAAAATCAAGTAAATAATTATGATGAATAAAAAATGAATCAAAAGTATAGAAAATGAATTTTCTTTAGATTAATTATATCTAAATACTAAATACACTAAATTATGTGACTGACTAATTTCAAGGAAAATATTTTCAAGACTCTCTTTTTTTGAATGAGAATAATGGATTGCCAGTCATGAAATAGTTATTAATTGTTAATTATAAAGATATTATTTTATTTTATATTTTATCCTATTAAGAAAAATATCAATATTCTCTTCATTGTATGTAAGTATGCATTGTAAGTAACCAATATACAATATAAGTAATATATGTAAAAACAAAGTGAAATATCTTGAAATTATAATAGGCTAGAGCCTAAGACAATAGCATTCAAGACAATAATGCTCTTTATCTGCTAATTATTAAAAACAGTATAGAAATTCATTCTTATTTATGAAATTCAAACATGGAATTCAATCATTCTCTAAAATCGACATTAATTATAATAATTACAAGTATAAAATTATTTCTTCAGAATAATCTTAAATGTTCTTAAAAGTACTATAAAAAAACTTCACTTAAAAATTGACGTTCTAAATATAAAATATATTAATTATTTACAAAATCTATATTTAACTATATTCATAAAGAAATATAATTTAGTAAATTATTAATTATATAATTTATCCATTGACTATTAAAATCCATTTTCAAATTCTATATTTAAAATATATAAATTTTTTTGAATCTGTTTCTACATTATTCATATACAAAATAAAAACTCGTAAATTCACATACTTCAAAATACATTCTTTTCTTGTTCAAATCTCTCAACCAAAAAAAAAAATTAACAAGCGTATTGATAAATAACTTCTTTTTCTAAATTTTTCTAAATGTTATTTGCAATGAAGGATCTTTTCGTTCAATCTTCAAGGTCAAATTACATTAATCGTCATTAATATTAGGATGGGTGCCACATAGAAACATCGTTTATCATTAATGATATAAAATCAGCTATAATAATTAACCACAGCAATCGATATCAGTTAAAGAACGAAAATATCCCCATTAAAACCATTCCATTTGCGAAAAAAAATAACCCTAAAATTTCCCTTCCCTGTAACGCGACCCCATCAAAATTTCACACCCTCTGCGTGAACAGGAAGAGTAATGGCATTCTTCGTCGAAAGCGTCGCTAATTATCCCGTCGAAATCCATCGAACAAAATCCCCCTCGTGATTACGAAATAATCGAGCTCGAAATGGGATAGGGAGCGTGTGAAGAATCACCGTGAAGGCGTAAAAAATTCACGAGCCACGATCCAAAGATGGATTTCGCATGAAAAGTACGGCTATCGATCGAATGATGCGACGACGCCGGGATAAAAGCCGATCGGAGAGGAATCAAACTCGATTAACCACAAATTACAGGTGGCAAGTGAAGAACGAGCACGAGCAACGATTGACGACGTGGAAAGCTCGTTCGACGTCGAGTCGAACGAGAGAGAGAGAGAGAGAGAGAGGTGAGAGATGTTTCGGGAGGGGAGAGTGTGTAGTAATGTCGCGAGCCTCTCGGAAAAAAAAACCAGCCTCTCGAAGGAAACAGAGGAGTAGGAGGATGAAAGGGAGGAGGGGAGAGGGGGGGAGGGATAGAAACGAGCCACCGCCCATACACGCTTCATCAATCTTCGCTTCTCGCGAGAGGACTAACGACGTCGCAGCGGGGAGATAAACGGACTTGGCTGGTCGGGGGTAATCTCGGTATATCAGTTGGCACGGTTATTGTTGGCGAAGCCAACTGTGGAAAGAAAGCTGTCTGTTGTGGGGCCGTTGGTGATCGATCTTTCCTTTCAACGGTCTGCCAGTTCCTCTTATTACCGGTTTCGATATCTTGATCGCTAATTAGCAAAAATTATTATTTACGTTTTAAGGATTAAGTTTCGATAGAAAGTGTAGATGGCAAATGTACGAGATATATGTTTAGGATATGTGCTTAAATGCGTTGTCTTTGAGACGACTAAACGTGTAATTTATTCTCGAAATTTCGTTAATTTGCTGAGACGATTTATGAATAACGAAATATGAAAATGTTGTTCTATTGTAGCTGATATTTTTTATTAATCTTTATATTTTTTTGAATAATTTTTTAGAAATAACAGAGTGTGCTAATAGTGTGTGTTGACATAAGTTATAATGGTCGAAGAATATCTATTCATCTCTACATCTTTTAAATATTATATATATCTTTTATTATATTTGTTACTGGACAAATAGAATGAGAAAATGTCAATATTAAAGCTGAGAAACTGTTTCATCTATCTGTGTCAATAGTATTTCAGCCTAATTTGTCATATTCTGATAATATTAAATTTAACCTATAACCTTTATATTTTTTGATATTCGATGAGTTGAAGCCAAAAATATTATTTATAAACTTAGGAAATTATGAAACTAAAAAATACTTTGTTTCACCTATGTGTATCCATTGCTATCATGTATCAGCTGCTTCATTATGGTAGCCAGAGAACACTTAATCCTGATATTTAATCTTTATTATATACATAATAATATGATATTAAATTATACCATACAGTAAATATGTTAATAATTTTCAAGTCAATGATTTTATGAACATAAAAAAACTATTATTTTATGAATTTTGTTTACCAAATGTTAAAGATATGAAATTGGAAAAAATTTGAGAATATATTCAAATGAACTTTAGACATGCAACTTTTACAAACATCATTTCCAAATGTTTGCAAGTATGCTGCATTTTAATTTTCGCTAATGTTATTCCATCGAAATAATGATAAAAAAGATACATCGTAAGTTTTATAGATCCGTTGCTATCCCGGAAGTAGGATATAAACTCGTCAGTCCAAAAATGCGGCATTACAGGGATGTAAACTGAGACCTTGGATTAGTGAAATGAACGTTCCAACAACGTTCTTGGCTTCTTTTTCCTACTACAGAATATTCGTTTCAGCTAAACGAGAATATTTAAGTATTTTCCTTGCTTTTAATAATGAATACATAGAATGTATTCATTATTGGTCTCGAAGCAACAATGCCCAGTGAAAGAGAAATTATTTTTGATAATATTATTATTTCAAGCTTTTTTAAGTTCATTCATTTTAAATTGCATCATAAATCATTTGTTGAAGAAATATATTTGAAATGAATTTATGAGCCATGATCTTGAGATATTTTTGAATATTAAAAATATGATAAAACATTTTAGAAATGTGAATCATTCTGTTTCTTTTTTCTTTCAATTACTTTTAGAAGCACAAGTTCTAGATTGATTATATTTTCCTGTTTTTTAATTACTCAAAAACATGTTAATTAAACTGTAGCCTTGTTATAATGTTTTAGAAATTTTTTATTTAATAGTTGAATAGTTATCCATAAATAAAGAATGGGAAATAATGAAAAATTACATGTATTTATCTTTTATCAATTTGGCAATGTATTCATTTCACTGCTGTTAGTTATGATTTTGATTATTATAACTAATATTATCTTACATGTCAACTTCATTACATTTTTTATTTTCAAAATCACTTGAAACTCATGCTTCAAACAATTCCAAATATAACTTTTTAGTCACTATAATATAAAAAATATGTTTATATTAGTATTTTTATATTATATAGCATATAATATTATTGATTTTAAAAAACTTTTAAGAAAATTTCTTTTCCATGGAATATTTCAAAATCACTTAAATTGCATTATAAGAAAAATTACAATAAAAGAATTTAAATGTTCTTTTTCAAATGAAACGTCCTTTATACAATAGATCTGTTAACTAGATTAATTTGAATGCTTCCACTTTGCAACATTTGTAAATGAGAAGTTGTTTACTCGAACGAAGCTAGCTAACGTGGACAATCTTGCAATGGTTGTCCATTGCAGCATATTGCAAGCGTGGAATGCGATTTAAATTTTCGCGTCACAAATTGGATTGCAACCTCTTCTGGTTGTAATATATATTGTTGCTCATACTTTTTTCTTATTCATTCATTTATTTATTATATTGAATAATTAATAATAAATTATATAAATTATATTTATATATTATATTAAAAAGTTATATATATATATAATTGAATTGATCATATAAAATTTGGTTATGCTTTAATGAAAATATTATCTGCTCAGCAATGAGAATATTGTCTGCTTAATAATTCTATTCACTTTATATGCAAACACAAATCTAGCATTAATCTTGATATTTAAGAAACATAAGAATTAATACGTAAATGTGTAATCATGCAACAAAATAAAACAATTTATAAAATCATAAAAAAACGATATTCTAAGATTAAGTCAAAGATCCTTAATATTTACATCTTTCTTAAAAATTTCTGAATCAGATATTTCATCATTTATCACATGAGAGAAAGAAGAGATTATAAACAATTAATGTAAAATTATTTGATGATGAATTTGCAAAGATCGACTTTCTTAATAGACCATGCTGAAAAAATGTTTAATTGAATATAATCGCAAGAAAAATATGAAAAATAAATCAGAGATGAAAAAGAAGAAGAACAAAGTGATTTGAAATTCATCTTAAATTATATTTGCAAAAAGAATATAAATCTGATTAATTGATTTTGGCAAACCTAATATGTTTGTAAAATAACACATTGAAATAAAAATATCATATAACACAAAATCTATGTGTGTTTCTAAAAGATTTACAAATGGTTAATAATCAATCATTAATAACAAAAAATAAAATCGACAGTTTGGGAAAATGGATGGAATGAAATTTTAATTGTGCTTTTAAGAGATTTCTTGCAGATTTATTCTGCAAATCTCTAGATGATTAGCAACAATCAATGCCAATTAGTCACTCACCAACAATAAGAAATAATATTAATTATTTGGATAAGTGTTATTGAAAATATCATTATTAATGATTCAAAACCTATCTTGTTGATTTTATCTAACAATAATACTAACAATCAATTATACTAATTTTATTGTCAATATTAATTACCAATTATCAATATTATCAATATTAATTAATTAAAAAATATAAATTCTGAAAATGAAAGTCTCTCAAAAGCCATTCCTGGATCACTTCATCCGCCCAGAAGAAGAAACTCCTCCAATAGTTTTCCAGAGTATTTCCAATAGTTTATATCTATGAAAGTACTGCAACGTGTACACAAAATGCGGAAAGAGACGGGAAAAAAACATCTTTGTCGGACTCGCCAGTCGGCGGACAGCTTTTAATATATTTGACAAAGTTCGAGCTTTCAAGAAACGCGACCAACCAGCCTCGTAAATTTTTCCCTCTTAGCGGTATGCGTTTCCACGCCTCCCGGGCTGCTTCACCTTCGCGCCATGGATAAGTCTTCGTTTCCCAAAGTTTTTCCTCGCGATCGCATCGGGATACATTTTTACGAACCCGCTCGAGACGGTCCATTATTCGTGTTCTTTTGCAGTCGAGCCAAAGCTAAGAACTGCCCTACTCCCGAGTGGTAAGTTTCCAAGCAAGAAAAATTACGAAGATCTTTTTCTTTCTCTTCCTCTTTTTATTTTCTTGTGCCGTTTCTTATTCTTCTTCTTCTTCTTCGGTGGATGAGGACGATTCCGATTTCTTGGATTACCGCCGATGACGTGATAATGTCAAAACCCAGCGGACACCATTATTTCAATGTTTGCTCCTGGGGTGGGAAGAAGTCTGGATCTAGCGGAAGACCTCGATAATAGGAGTCCTATTACTGTTCGAGGTCAGAGTTGAGGCTACGTTGCCGCTTAAAATCGACTGAAACGGATCTGAGCCTTCTAAAGTATACTCTGACATTATTACTGGATCTTCTGGTTTTGACGTTTGCACGATGAGCCTCGAGTACATTCTTGTGAAGAGAGCTTCCTTGCTGAACATTTTCTACTAGTTAACACGCGTATTATAAAGTGTAGATAAACTTGTGAATCTGCTTGAAATGAGTTACACGTCAATAATGAATAACAAATGTTAAACACACAATAATTGTGCAAATGTTTTCACAGAAATGCTATTCCATTATAATTTAGTGGTGAAAACTATGTTGAGGAGATATAACTGTACAGTACACTTTCCTTGATCTAGAAAAATAAAGATATTTGGCTTTTGTATTTTGTAACAAGCTACAATATATGTATGTAAAAGATATCCCAGTTTCGTTATTTATATGTAGAATTAAAATGAAAATTTTATCGAAAGTGTAATTAATTAAAATATGCAAGCCCATGTTTGGATTAATTATTTTTTCCTCTGTTAGAAAGATTGTTTAATAACATATTCATTTTTCAAATATGTTAAAAATTAATATCTAATTCATCATGATATTAAAGTTGAAAAGTTGAATAAGTAGAAAAAAAAAAAAAAACAATGGCTTAATTCGCTTTACGAAATCGAAAGTTCAATAATTCGTGACTCTTCACATTTATCTTTGAACCTTTAATATGATTCAGGTCCTTGCTGCCAGATGACACCACCTCCTATAACAGAAGTTTTCTAAAATTGTTACAAGATGTTGCCACTGTGATGTTTCAACTGTATCGATAAGGTAGAGACAAGCATTGCTAGAACAAAATGGTGCTTTGTAGAAAACATGAAATGGCAGCTTTCAAAAAGTTCTCTACGCTTTCAAATTATGGAATGGAAATTTTTTAAGAAAAATTGAAAATTACTTTTCAAAGAAAAAACTAAATAAAGAATGTAAATAATATATATATATATATTCTTTTTAATTATAGACTTATTTATAAATAAGTTTATTTTATGGACAATTTTTTTAATACAATATTAATAATATTAATTCCAAATAATTTATTACTTCAAAATAAAGTAAATTTCGTTTAAATGCAATCAGAAATTTATCTCGAGAAGCAATGAACAAGTTCGATATTTACAATTAATTCTTAGCGGAACCATTGATCAACGCGAATCCGATGTAATTAATTATGATAATACTATTGATTTCGGGTTTCCGTGGTCACGTTAATATCGTTATTGTCGACATTTGAACGATCGTGACTAATGGTAAATTCCTGCGAGCTGGAAACCAACAACCACTGCAATATCGTTTATCGATTAAGCTATTGGTACAAGTATTGTACTTTCGGTTAAATTCCGTTTCCTTTTAAATCGTTTTTTTTTTCTCTCGTATTTTTTGATAATACTCGATATACATAAAATTTGTATATCATTCTTAAATTAGATTAGATTAAATTCTTCGTTTTTCTATCTATAGAAAAAGTACAGAAAAGTTATTTTCATGACGATAAGTTTGAACATCCTGTCATCAAAATGACATTGCTACAATCGCGATCATGATAATATCAACTATCCCCCTCCTTCTTTTCTAATCCTTTCCAATAGTACTCGATAAATGAGTATACATACTTAGATTAGATTAGATTAGACAACTTTTGCATAACCTCAGATTCAAAATCGTCATATTTCGTCTCCGTCCAACCCATGATTTCGAGTATCACGTGTTCTAGCAATATTCGTGTCTACGGTAGAATTTATGCGGGTCGCACTTGTCGCCCAGCTTTTCATACCTGGCACAAGACGTGGAGAAAGCGCCTTAATAAAAATTACGACACTCGCGCCGAATTGATTTGCAAGAATTTATCTCGAGAACCTTGGCCAGAGAGCGAGAAGCCGACTCTCGTTCCGCATTCACCCCGCGTGGCGAGAAGGCACACTCGCCTACACTCGCGTCATCAATTTCATCCTTGCGCCCCCCCCAATGTTCCTTGTCGAGGGATCAGCGACCTGGTGGTTGCGGATGTAATTCGCCCCGGGGTGTAATCAATGCCGTTGCAAATTCCGTGGTTGACTGAGTCGAAGGCGGATTACTCGACCAATCCTCTCGCCAGCCAGGACAAGTTAGATTTGTCCCTATAAGAGACAAAAGATCGCCTTTATTTTTCTCCTCTCTTTTTCTTTCATTATCCCCCTTTGTCCCAACGAATCCTCGAATTCTTCTTCTATCTCTTCGAAGACCACCTCCCGATTTCGAACGAACATTCTCTCTCTCTCTTCTTCTTCTTCGTCGATCTCTGTCCGTTCGCAGGCTCGATCTCCTCTTCTTTTTCACTCCTCGCTCCTTTTAAAGTTGTCTCGTTTAATGCATCCGTATAGGAAACTACAAGTGAAAATGTTTCGTTAGCTGCGACCATTTTCCACCGTCGCTTTTTTACTCCCGTTGTCTCGCCTCGTTTTTCCTGTTCGCAGCGCGTAAATCGTTAGCGAGCTCGTTAACCCCGCGCTGCGATATTTATCGCAGCCAGCCTGGATAATGGAATCCCATTGTCTACTTACGGGCGCATTATCCCTCGAACGATTGCCTCTCGTTGACACCGTTTCATCCGATCAATCGGCCGCCCAAGATCGAATACACTCGATCCACTCGTCGCCGATCTTCGACGATCTTCGAGCGGAGGATTTTTTGGGATAATTCCTCTCGAGGGTGATCTTCTCTCCTCGTTGAAGCGGATTCGTCGACGAACGAATAAGAGAGCGTGCGAGGGGATTAATTCTCTTGAGAAATGGAGGAATCGTAGAATCGAGGATGCACGCAGATTGTTTGTGCAAGAAAAATTAATTCAAAATGTTGTCTCTGAAATGTTAATTTTTCATTTTACGATAAATTATCGTAATCGATTTTATATTATTTTCTAATATATATATATATATATTGAAAATATTATTTAGGATATTAAATTTTCTAAAAAGTCATTATGCAAATTTCCA